AAAAAGAAAAAAAAGCGCAGCCTCTTCGGTCACCTTGAATGAAGCTGAACTAAACTTCAAGGGAGTTTGAGCTTTTAGGAGGGGGCTGAAAGCACACAGTTTGTTCGTTTCAGAGTCCCTTTAGGAAACACCACGGCAAATCGTCTGCCTCCATCTCACCTTATCCTTCACTACATCCATTAATTTTGTCTGTGCTCTTTCTCCTCTCCTCCTGTCTGGCAGGACACCCTTTCAACATCCTTTGCCCAGAATATCCACTTTCTCTCCTCTGCACACCTCCAAACGATCTCATCTCCAGTTTGAACTCCTGTCTTTTCGTTCGTGCCACAGTCTCCGAAGCATACATCATAGCATGTATCACCAGCATCTTGTCAAGCTTCTCCTTCACTCTTTCTGCTATCTTTATCACTGCTGACACTCATCTTCATCGACTCCGCCCTGCCTCCACTCTATTCTTCACTTCATATATTCATTGTAACATCTATCTTCCTCTCGTTCACACACATGCATTCTGTCTTGCTTCTAATGACTTTCATTCCTCTTCTCTCCAGAGCATACCGCCACCTCCCCTGGCTCTCTGCCACCTGGTTCCTACTTTCACTGCAGATCATAATGTCATCTGCAAACATTATTGAGCTCTCTGTCCTCCTCTATCAACCTGTCCATTACCACTGCAGACAAGTGGGGGCTTGGAACAGATCCCTGATGTATTCCCACCCCACCTTGAACCAATTTCTCACTCCTTTCTCCTTCCTCCCCGTGTTGTTGCTCTCCTCCGAGTCGTCCCTGATGAACCAGTGGTTGGCGGTTCTTGTAGAAGAAGAAGAAGAAGATGATGAAGAAACACTGACCTGTGCATAAACAGTGGAGTCATTCAGGGCTCTCTGCAAGGCATGACTCAGACCTTTGGAGAGGTGATGTTTCAGTATGAGGTCTAAGCGGTTCCTGCGCAGCTCAATAGATAACACTGTGAAGATGAAAAAAGGTAATTAGTTCTCAATCACCGTGCACTGTCTTCATATGTGCACATTTACATAATTTTTATGCTTTAATAAATCTACCAGCACTGCTTCTGCTGTAAACTTAAAGTATACTTACTTATATATCATGAACAAGCTCAAGTACTATTAAAAGCTTTATAAAACCACAGCATCGCTGCTATATGCAATCAAAGGCTCACTAATGTGTGATGTGTGGCTTTTTATATTTGTTAATGGGGAAAGGCTGTACTTACTTTTATCCAAGTTTAATTAATTTGTGCACCTCTACTGACATGTTGGCCACATAATAGGCACTTTCTGCCTGACTCTCAAATGCGGCATTTCGTGTGCTTTCATTATTACTTTGTAATCGTTTTTTTTCTGGACTTAACACTGAGTGTACTTTATGTAATTTAGAGGACATGCAGTACCTAGATTATTTTTTATGAGAGCTCTCTGATGTCCGAGCCATTCATCTTACTAGCTTTACTTATTCTTCCTTATCTTTCACACAGTTTCTATAAATGTTAAGAAATTCATCATTATCGCTATCTTACTGGTGATGTTTTGGTTTCTTACCTGTTCTAACCCAAAACTTTTCAGTAATGTTGCATGGCAGAGGACTTTCTTCTGCACTGGTACTAGATGGAGGAGGAGGTGGAGTAGTCTGGATGAACACAGTGGTAGCAGGCGCCTTTGTTGTTGTTGTGGTAGAAGTAGTAGTAGTGGGAGCTGTAGTAGTCGTGGTAGCCATGGTGGTAGTAGTAGTGGGCTCAGGGGTGGTAGTGGTGGTAGTAGTAGTTGTGGTGGTGCTGGTGGTGGTGCTGGTGGTAGTAGTCGGGGGAAGAGTAGTAGTAGAAGCAGTAGTCGGGGCAGGTGTGGTTGTTGTAGTGGTTGCAGGTTGAGTTGTTGTGGTAAGTCTGATGCTTGTCGTTTGCTGCGTAGTGGTTGCAGCACTGGTATTTGGCGATAACGTTGCATCGCTCCCAGTGGTTGCTGCCTGATTCGTCACATCATTGGTGGTCACAGTAAGAGTGGTCGTTAAGGGTGTTGTTGTAGTTACTGTTGTCAGCTGAAGACTGTCGTTGGTCACAGTGTCCTGGCTTGTGATGTGTGTAGCCGTGCTGGATTCTGGTGGTGTTTGTGCTCTTGCAGTTGTGGGGAATGGTAAAGTTGAGCTGGTAGTGGGAGACAGAGGCATCTTTATGGTGGTGGTGGTCGTTGTGGTGGTCGGACGCCGTGAGGCGTTTCTGGTGCGCACAGGTGCGGTGGTGTTCCACTGGTGGGTGGAGAAAGGGCTGGTGACATTGGCAGGAAGTGTGACATCATGGTCACCCACTGTGGACAGGAGTGATTCGGGGACTGTAGGGAGATCCCAGGCCGGCAGGCTGCTCACTGAGTCCTCTGTAGGGCAGAAAACATGAAAATCAGTCATAAAGGATTTCCAGAGACTCTGAATATAAAAACTACTCAGCCTTTTTTCAGATTTAAATGGAGCACAGCATTAGTTCAGCTAGTTCATCTCAAACACAATTCAAGCTGCAACAATTGCTACAGATCTGCAAGCCACTTTGTGACCCACCACTTCAGCACTTCCTTACACGGTATAACTTAAATGAATGCTGTGTCTGACGTCAGTGATGCCTGCTTTGTTCTGTTTGGGGGTCTTGCTTTTGCCCGCCCCCACTACAGTTTTCCCATGTGTGCACAGCAAAGGATGGAGAGGTCCATAAACAATGCCAGTGTGCTGCATACAGAAGTATCGCTCGTCTGTTGATTATAGTGGTCCTGAATGAACCATACATCTTATATCAGGTCAAACATGAACTGCAGAAAGATAAGATACTTGAAAGTATTGGTGCTATTTTTGGTATTTTATATCATCTGCTGACCTACATACAGCGTATGCAATATACAACATAAGAGACTACAGGCTGATAGCAAACACTAATGCAGCTACACTTGTCTTTGACCTGAATCTGTAATATTTGACTCTTAAAAAGTGTAAACACAGTTTTAACCTACTCATACCACACCTATATGTATATATACAAAGACCCCTGAGCAACCAAGTTTAGAGCAATGTCTCTTAAATCCTCATTAAAGCACTGCCATAGGGGTATTTAAACCTAAATAAAGTGATGCAAAGGAACCAGTTGCCTGATAATAGCAAACCAGCAAGACTCAGTTTTCACTTTTCTCATGAATGAGGAAGATGAGGAGGTTTTTGTCCAATTGAAAGCACTTAGATGGACTGCATGATAGTTTCAACTTTGAATGGGAAATAGAAATCCAATTACAAAATGTGAACCAGAGAGGCATTTTAATGAAAGGGGTTTGTTTAATCCATCTACATACTGATGCGAGACGCATATTGATGAGTGTAGAGGAAGCTAGAGTAAACAAGAGCCAGGCGATCAATGAACCTTTTCAGACCAAGCTGCGGATTCATTCTTATCAACACCTGACGACTTCAAATATTGTGCTTGTTATGTGACACAAAACACTGAGCAACAGGATATTAGCTTTCTGCTCACTCGTTGATCAGAAGCTAAAATATATGTGAAGGATTTACCTTGCTGATGTCAGCGTTATAGATGATGATGGCATGACAGGAAGCAGGGGAGATATGAAAGGAAGGTGATGAAATGGGACAGGACATGAAGGATGCTGATGATGATGAAGATGATGACACTATGATAAAGTTGCTGACAAAATAGTGAGGGCGATGATGCGATGATGGGATGATGAAGATGATGCGCCTAAGTGGCTGTGATGATAGCAATGCTGAAAATTACAATTTGATGAGAGCAGTTAAGAATGACGATTCATAAAAGATGACATCAAAGCCGATTTCGCTGTGTGAAAGTGTGCTGTAGGCTTAAAAAAACAAAAGCTGAGCAAAATTAGCTGACTGTTTGCTATTCACTTATTATTGCCACAATAGGCCTCTGTGCAATGACGTAAGTAGAGTTAATGCATGCCATTATTCAATTAGGGGGAGCAATTAAATTCCACAGTCCCTGCAATCAGGTGATCACATTAAAGCAGTCTCTTTATGATTACTTTTCACAGGATGCCAAATACAATACTACATTGTTGTGCATGATCGTTCAGTGGCACATAATCCTCAGAGGAGTCTTGCTATTCAGAAAGGTGAGAAACTGCTGAGACAAT